TATATATATATATATATATATATATATATATATATATAATAAAAATATCAAAAGCACATAACAAATTTATTAAAACTAAAAATTTAAGTGACATGAAAATTAAAATGAAAGCTGAAAATGTTCAAATGAAATCTAATTTAAAATATTCATAAATAATAATACATAATACTTAAACACTGCAACCACATTTATATATAAACATATTAATAATTACATTATATTACCTAATAATTTTATTTCATTTATTATCGAATTAATTCTCTAGTATCTGTCTACATCATGAACTGCTTTATTGCTTTATCGTTATTATTATTACGTCGTTATTATTAATTGTTGGAGTCAGATCAGGTGTTTATGAGAAGCTAACATTGTCTCACTCTCTGCAGGTTCCTCAGGATGAGTGGGGTGGCTTCTCGTCTGTGGGTCAGGATGACGAGATCCCGTGCAGGAGGATGAGGAGCGGCAGCTACATCAAGGCTATGGCAGAGGAGGACAGTGGAGACTCGGACTGCAGCCCTAAACCGTCACCGAAAGTCCAGGCCCGGAGAGCCAGCTACCTGAAAGCCACCCAGCCCTCCCTCACCGAGATGACCACACTCAAGTGAGTCTGGAAAAGTATTAGCTTGTGTATTTTGCTGCCGTGAAATCACATGGGAAATTAAATACATGTGCTGTATGTGTACGTCTGGTGTGTAGGTGCGTAGACCTGCCGATCCGTCTGCAATTTCAATGAGCCGTCATCTTCTCTGGGGTCATTTTAAACATGGTATTTTACAGGCATTCCACCCACTCCACATCTCTAAGTGCTGTTGGGATGGGTCTCTGGAGACGGTGTAGTCCCATCCTTAAAACCACCTCTGTTCACACACAAATGCATACACAAACTCTGTGCAATTTCATATAAAATCCCTTAATGTCCTGAGACTCTTACCACTACAGTGCAAACCTTTCACTCTCCTCTTTATTAAAAATTCAACAGAACAAAGTCATTTCATAGGGAATTTTCCTGTGCCTTTAAAGTTCCTTCCAAGTCCTTTCATTTTTTCAGTTGCACACTGTTATATCGTCTAAAAGTGGGTATTTTTTAATGAAAGAACTGATCTTGGCTTCAGTATTTATGTTAAAACCTCACATGCATATTGCTATTATAGCCGTGTGCTACTATACAGTGGCAACATATCCTACTTAGAATATATACAATGAAGTGAGTCACTTTTAGGATCCCACAGAGAGCGAACTAATTTGCATTATAAAGAGAATCAACACTCACTTTTGGTTCTGTGTGTGAAAGCGAGCTTTGGTGTGTAAACTTTGCAAACAGCATTTGTATAATGCGAACATCATCGCTGTGACAACATCAGTGCAGTGTAATTATACACCCTTGTTTTTAAAGAAATTAATACTTTTTATTCAGCAAGGGTGCACATTTATGTCATTTATCATGCTACAAAAGATTTCTATTTAAAATAAATACTGTTCTTCCGAACTTTTCTATTCATCAAAGGACTGTGAAAAAATTTATTACAATTTCCAAATGTATTACAATTTTTTTTTTTTTTACATGATTATAAAATTATAAATATTTCTTGAGCACCAAATCAGCATACTAGAATGATTTCTGAAGAATCATGTGACATTGAAGACTGGAATAAAAGCTGTTGAGAATTCAGCTTTGCCATCACAGAAATAAATTTCATTTTAAAATATATTTAAATAGAAAATTATTTGAAATTGTTATAACTGTTTTACTGTATATTTACTCAAATAAATAGAGCATATTATTTTTAAAAATACAATGAATTTAACCAAATTTAAATATTTTGTATTATTTACATTTTATAGAATTACACTAGGATGTAGTATATATGTTTTTATATGGAAACATTATAATTCATATTATATATTTAATTTACTCAACCATATGATGTCATCAAACTCCTAATGTGCATGAATAAAGTGATGCTGTTCACAGACCTCAATGGGCCCCGGGGCTATGACTTACTGCAGGCCCCCCCCCCCCCCTGCCCGCA